GAATTAGTATAAATTTACTCAGGCAGTGGGTTTATTCCTGTCTAGTGGGCAATACTTTTTCTCTATTGCTGAGTAAATGGACCTGATGAGAATTAATAATAGTGCCATCATAGTAGTAATTAGCTTCTAAAGATCTTGTTGAGACTGTCTAATTGCCTTTAAAAGACCCTGAGAGAGAAAGGAGGGGGAGATGTTATTTCTGGTGTTTTTTCTTATGTATAGATGTAGAAGACTAGACATGAAAGGATTAGTCACTTCAGGGATTGAAAGGTAAACTAAAGCTATTAGACCAGAAGGGTCCATGGTGAGCACCTGGGGTGCAAGCACAGAGAAGCCAGAGGATGTTCCTAAGAACGAGAACCCAGGTCACTGCTTATGGTTCAGTGTTGTATCCACTAGACCCCACTGTCCCACTGTCCACTGCAGATGTGGTAGGGAGTGAGCTATAGAGGAAGGGCACTGGCTTTTCCCACTGGCTGTGTGCTCATGCACCCACCACCTCCCTCTCTGGACCCCAGTTATTCTATCTCTGATAAGAAAAAGGCTATTAGATGCCACCAAAATATTTTTCCAATTGTTTGTTTTTGTTTTCCTTTGTTTTTTCTTCCTGATTTGAAAGCTCCAGTAGTCTGTGCATTTCTGAACAAAGAGAATGATCAGTGCTAATGGCATAAAGACTCCTTGGCTGGTTTCTCACTAGAAGCAGTGACGAGCAAGCTGGAGAAGGGTAGTGGTGTCACTTGGGGGGGTGTGGGTGGTGCAGACCCCATTGGGTGACACTGTCAGGGGAGGTGACACCAAAATGACTGGAAAGTTTTTGTGCAGTGTTTCAGCAGAAATTTGTTAGTTTTTAAATAAAAATATCCCTGTAGTTAGTTACAGCAACAAAAACATTTTTCATAAGCCAAGCTTACATGTATCAATATACCTGTAAGATTAAAAATCTATACTAGTTTACTTTTTAATCTTTTTTTCCCCCAGAATTTTTATTGTGATTTGCATGAAAATTTACAGAGCAAATTCAGTTTTCATATAGCAGTTCACATCACTTTGTCTCATGACATTGACTGAAATCTCCCACAATGCAACAGCTCTCCTCCCACTTCCTCCTCATAGTTACCCTTCCCTGTGTCCTTCCCTCCCATGCACTCCTGCCCCCTGAGCTGTCTCCCTGTCCATACACTGCCCTTCTATTCCCCCATGATTGATCTCTACAAGGAGTGTATCTACCTAATGGAAATGTTCAGCTAATATGCCTGTCTTTTGTTTGGCTGGAAGCCAAGGAATAGGTTCAATTCCAGACGGGAAGGGCAGCAAGGGGCCATAATCTCAAGGGTTCTACCAGATCAGCAAACCTGGTCCTTTTTTTTTTTTTTTTTAAATGATTTTGAGTTTTGTTCCACATTGTTTTCCCACTCTATCCAGGATCTCCTACATAAATCCCCCTCCAAGTGGACTTTTTGAACCTTCCAATGGGCTCTGGTGACAGCCGTCATTATTACTCAATTACAAAGACACTTTGAATCATGTGGTTTCATTTGCACATGGTACAAGCATATACTCTTTTTTCATTGCTGCTTGTGTTTTTATAATCTCTGATTTTGTCAATTTTTCTGGTATTTTAGCTACAATATTGTGGTAAGTAGAAAAATCAAAAAAGGCTTCTGCTCAGTTACTACTAATGTAACTAATAATGTTGTAATTCATAGTAGAAAGATTTTACAAAACAATTTTGTTAGTAGTCATATGATGTAAGAAATACTACAATTAAGCAATTTTCAACTATATTTATCACATATTATTTATGATTAAAATTGATAATAACCAATACTAAGGATTTTGTAGGGAGCTCTGGTAGCATAGTGCCTAAGGCACTTGACTGCTAACCAGAAGGCTGGCGGTTCAAACCTACCAACCACTCCTCGGAAGGAAGGTTGGGCAATCTACTTTCGTAATGATACTGCCTCAGAAACCCAAGGAGGGATCACTATGAGTTGGGTCCGACTCTATGGCACATAACAACAACAAGGATTCTATATGGCTTGGTTTGGGAGGAGGTTCACGAGGGGTGTGTGACACCATGAGTTACTGCACTGGGTCACACCAACCCTAGTGACACCACCAGAGAAGGGTGCTTTGAAGAGTGGAAACATAATCTGTTGCCATTATGCATGATTTTTATTCTTTGAGACTGATTATATAATGTGTCAGGTGATATTCTGAACATCCTAAGAAAAATAAAGTATTAAAATTCAGTCTTATTACTGTGTGGCAGAGGGTGTGTCATTTAACTTTTCTCTCTGCCCATTTCCTCATCTATTAATGAGAAACCCCTGTTACTCTACCCCAACTCCCCTTTTCTACTCCAGCTGCTGGCCTATGCTGAACCTTGTGAAAAGACACTTTAACTCCCTCCTGTGGCTGTATAGGAAACTGATTTAGCTTCCTGGTAAAAATCCAGACTCCTTACCAACTTTAAAAGGTTTGGTCAAAGGTATACTAGGCTTAGCAGATGGCTTTACCTTTCCTTTTCATAGAGAAGACACTCAATTTTTTTTTTTTTTTAAACCATGGAGTGACCAAACTCTTTACTGTACAATTTTACAATAACTTATTTTCACCAAGGAAGGCATGGGGGATGCTTTGCTCTCAGTGAGAGGAAGACGTGCTATTTCTAGGATAAACTGAGAATGGCATTTTCTGAGTTTAAAGTCAGCCTGAGTCAGTCCAGTCAGGTTCCTAAACCATGAATGTCGTTGGAACCAGAAGCTTTGAGTAGATTGATCAGCTGTGACATCTTACCAATTATTCTCTCAGTTAGTGCTGATGTGTTGTGGTCCACTCGTGGCCCAGCACTGAGCCAGACACATGGAAGAAGGTATGAGAGGAAATGATATATCCCTGGCTTTCAATTTCAGGACTGAATCCCTTCTGGATAGCACGTTACAGCTTACACAACCCTTTCCTTGTCATTGTTCCATTTTATCCTTCCAGCTGTACAGTAGGTGGGGCCTTTGTGCGGCCTTTGCTGTTCTGTCCCTTTTACTCAGGTCACACTCAAAGGTGAGTTGAGACTCCATCCCAGGGTTTCTGAACCCAAGTCCCATGCTTTTCTTCACATGGATGTTCTGTAGTTTGAGATGGCATGCAATTAAGTGCTAAATTGAATTACAAAGACCAGAGGTCCTCTGGGTATTCATATGAGATAGAAATTATTGATAGGAAAGAAATCATTCTGGGAGCTCTGAATTCCACTTGTTTAGTGAAGTTTCTACTTGTTTGGAGGAAGTAAATGGTTGAACTGTTAGGCAATGTGTGCATCTTTGATGTGGACATTAGACATCACTGAGACTGATACGTACCCCAAGACTTCAAAAAATGCTTTATTGAGAAGAATTGTGGCTTTAATTATGGAACATTTTGTTGTTGTTCTTTTTTTTTTTTTTTTAAGCTAAACACTATTAAAACTTTAAAATCATGACTGTATAACTAAGTTAGTGGAGAAATAATTTTACCGTGAGATAATAATGATAAAAATTAGGTCTAGGACTGGCATGAAAGGCAAAGTTTAAATAAAACTAACATTTATAGTGCTTTTCAGCATACAAAGCAGTACTACATAAACAATTTCATTTGCTCTTCGCAACAACCTTGTGAACTAGGCCAGGATCCTCATTTAACTAACAAGGAAATCAAATTTTAGGCATTTGACTGCTAAGCAGAAGGCTGATGGTTCAAACCTACCAGCCACTCCTCAGAAGGAAGATTGAGCAATCTACTTCCATAGAGATACTGCCTCAGAAACCCAAGGAGGGGTGACTATGGGTTGGAACCGATTCGATAGCACTAAGTTTGGTTTTTAAGTGTTTTGCGCAGCGTCATAGTGAGGATGTGGAAGATTTAGGACTTTGGGCTTTTGGACTCCATATTCTGCATTGATTTGGAATTATTTACTAAAATCTCAGCAGATGTGAAATAATTGCTGTGGGGAATGACTTAGACACCCTGGACTGAACTGTGAGACACTGTGATAATGGCTGGTGCGTAAGTGGTGTCTTCTCACTGTGACACTGCCTCTTGCTCACAAACAGCAATTAGTCCTTTTTCTCTGCAAAGCCTGTGGCTGTCAAGTCCAACTCTTTATGATGGATAGATTGAAGCAGGCTTCTAAGCTATTTTGTCATTGTCATCCAGCCCAGGGAGGCAGGAGCAGGGATTATGTCTTGAGAGTTCCAGCTACATGTCTCTTGTCAAACAGAACTCTCATTCCCTAAAGAATAGAAAGAAATAGCAAATATTTAATGAAAGGATCCATGCTATTTCTTCAGAATACTCTAGATTTACTCCCCACAGCTATTCCTGATCCTGGCATTTGACAAAGGAAATATATGGAGAGCCTAATCACTCAAAAAGTTTTGGAGAATGTGGACATTTAAAAAAAAATCTTAGGAAGATTAAGTATGCTTATATGAATAAATACCAATTGAGACATAAGAATTCAGTAGGATTCAGAAGGAAAGTAAAATATTAAATATCTTTTCCCTGATTCATACTGTTTCCATATAGGCTTTCTTGCTATATCCAAAGAAAGAGTTTAGAAAGAAAGGTTGTAGCTTTTCACCTTCATGTGTCATGGCCAAAAACAATCCTAGAACTTGTCTGACCAGCTCTAATGGGGAACATAAATAAACAAGACCTGAGTAAACAAATGAGGAATGTGCGCATCACCTGTGGAGTCAAGCAGGGTAGGCTGTCTTCCTGGCACCTCCCATCCCTTGGATAACATGCAAAAGGCACTTTCAGAGAAATGTCGTTTATTATCATGTTGGCAGCAGCGACTTAGGGAAGAAGCAGAACAGAAACTATCTAGCAATGGGGACCTGCTGTGGTAGTAAGAAGCGAGGTACCTTTAAGGGAACAGGAAGTGCTTAACCTTTATGGCAGGAGCATACAGCAACCTCTCTTTCATGAATGTGGGTCATCTTCATCACCTTGGAATGTTAGACTTTGGCAGATCTGGTGATGTAGCAGGGCTGCACATGCTCGTGAGAAGAAATGACCTTCCCATCCTTAATCTCCTTAGTGGTGGTGCATATTTTAACCAGGATCCAAGGCAGGGTTCTGCAGGCACTGCAGGGCTCACATATCCCATGGGGAGCTGAAGACGCACAATGGCTGCATGATGTACAAACGGGGGCTGTGCGTTCCACAACCCTGGCCTTAGAAGATGTGCAAGTGGAAGGGTCACATTTAGTGGCACATGGCTTACAGGGAAGCCTAGAGGAAAAAATCCAGAAATTTACCCACGGTTGGGGGAAGGCAACAATGGCTATGGAGAAAAATAGCAGTGGTTAGTTTTGCAACATGTTACTCAAAACAAGTACTTCCAAATGCTTATTAATTCGTTTTGTACTGTAGTAGTTGTTGTTAGTCGCCATTGAGTCAGTCGCGACTCATGGCAACCCATGTGTGTAGAGTAGAACTACTCTGTGGGGTTTTTCAAGGCTGTCACCATTTGGAAGCAGATCACCTGTCTTGTCTTCTGAGGCATGTCTGGGTGGGTGCAAACTGCCAACCTTTCGGTTCGTATGTGGAGAGAAAAAAATCAGACCAGATCCTCTGGAAAGAGGCTTCCTAGGTCTATGAGTCAGAATTTGCTTGGTGGCAGTTAGCTTTTTGGGTTTAAGCTTCCATTACAGTAAGTGCCGGGAGCTCTGGTAGCATAGTGGCTAAGGCACTTGACTGCTAACCAGAAGGCTGGCGGTTCAAACCCACCAGCCACTCCTCGGAAGGAAGGTTGGGCAATCCTACTTCCGTAGTGATACTGCCTCAGAAACCCAAGGAGGGGTCGCTATGAGTCGGGGCAAACAACAACAACAACAGTAAGTGCCATTGTTGTTGTTGTTATGTGCAGTCAAGTCGACCCTGACTCATAGCAACCCCTCCTTGGGTTTCCGAGGCAGTATCACTATGGAAGTAGATTGCCCCACCTTCCTTCCCAGGAGTGGCTGATGGGTTTGAATGGCCAGCCTTCTGGTTAGCAGTCAAGTGCCTTAGGCACTATGCTACCAGAGCTCCTGTAAGTGCCATGTTGTTGTTGTTGTTATTTGCCATGGAGTTGGCCCCGTGGAGTTGGCCCCGACTCATAGCGACCCCTCCTTGGGTTTCCGAGGCAATATCACTACGGAAGTAGGATTACCCCACCTTCCTTCTGAGGAGTGGCTGGTGGGTTTGAATCGCCAGCCTTCTGGTTAATGGTCAAGTGCCTTAGGCACTATGCTACCAGAGCTCCCTGTAAGTGCCATAGTACCATGGAAAAACATCAACCAGAAGTCATCTGGTGACCTCAGGGAAATCACTTAACCCTCCTGAAGTTTAGTTTTCTTATCTGCAGAGTGGACGTAATTGTAATTGAACTCACAAGTGTATACAAACACATGAAGAGCTATAGTGATAAGGAATAACTGAATGGGATTGTTTCTGAGGAATGGAAGTTAATCAAATATATTTTCTCTTTTTTTCCAAGTTTTACTTATTTTGTTGTTTTAAATATTTTTCTTATTGGAGAGTTAGTTGCAAAACTACTGAAGTCCTCAACACTTCATCAGGAAGCTACAAAGTACCTTCTGAGTGTCTACAAATGAAGACTTTTTAGAGAATTGGAATAATAAACAGTTAAAAGTAAAACTCTCTTTTAAAGCACCATCTTTCTTTGATGATTAAAGGCACTTTGGTATACTGTAGCTCTTCAAGGTTATAACTTTGGTTGATACTGTGTTCATGGACTTGCCAATTAAGAGAATGCTGTGATTTGAGAGAGGAAGGTCTCATTAGCAATTGTAACTAAGGCTGTGTTTGGGGAGTTAGTTTTGAACTGAGTTGCTTCAAAGAGCCTGTGCTCCATGATAATTCCTCATTGGTTGGTTAGTTTCTTGTTTTTCGAAAAAATTACATCTATTAAAAAGAAGATACTGAAACACACATATGTACATGCTGCTACTGGCATCAAGGATAAGTGGCTAGATAGGATTAGGGCTTTCAGCTTGAGCAGGGTGATCTTCCCAAGGGAGCAGGGCTGTCCTGTTAGATGTCATGAAAGCCAGACTTTTATTTCAGCTGAGGGGAGATCTGTAACAGTCACCGGGAATGTTCATCTTTGGTGAAACAATTTTCTTTTTCCCTAGTAATTTTCAAAAGTCTAAAATGCTAACCCACCGGTAAGGAAATGTACCTGGTGCATTGGGTCTTCAAAACAACTCAGTAGCAGCTCAGATATGGACTAGGCTACAATGTAGGTCTCCCCATCACTGCCAAGAAGATCAAGGCTCTTGTCCCCGTCTTGCCAGTGGCAGCACATAGTATGTGCTTCAGCATCTCTCTCATAGAAGTAAGTTGGTTTTATTTGACATACTTGCCGTCCAAGCTCTCCAGAAGGCTGCGGTAAGTGGTGATCTCACACTCTAGTTGGGACTTGACATCCAGAAGAATCTCATATTCTTGGTTCTGTCTTTCCAGGGCGCACCGGATGTCTGTCAGCTGAGCCTCCAGGCTGTCGATCAGGCTCTGGATCTGGGCCAGCAGGGCTGTGTAGCGGGCTTCTGTCTCTGCCAGGATGCATTCCTGGGAATGTCTCTACCATGGAAGAAGAAAGGTAGAATTTGTAATGATGACTCCTTGAAGCTCGGGTCATTGTATGCCATTTGTGATCTGTATGGTTTTTGACAGTGATTTCTTTGTAGTGGCTAAGGCATTTGACTGCTAGCCAGAAGGCTGGTGGTTCAACCCC